GTCTTCATTAACATAATGAAGATAATCCCCTGATAGATGTGCCAGGAAGCCCATCTCTCAGGTGATTCTAGATTCTGTCAAGTTAATAACACTATAACCATTGTATTACCATTCCTTTTCAGGAGGCAATTCTCTCAGAATTTATCCACTGTGTCTCTGCCTCTTTTATTAAAAAAAATTAAAACAATTACTTTCAATTTCTTGTTTTGTGTTTGTGCTTATTTTTTATGTATTTATTTAACTTTTTTTTTTGGTTTTTCGAGACAGGGTTTCTCTGTGTAGCTTTGCGCCTTTCCTGGATCTCGCTCTGTTTTATTGAGGTTTTTATTTTTTTTGAAACAGGGTTTCTCTGTATAGCTCTGGCTGTCCTGAAACTCACTCTGTAGACCAGGTTGGTCTCCAGTTAAGATCTGCCTGCCTCTGCCTCTCAAGTGCTGGGATTAAAGGTGTGTGCCACCACCTCCTGGCTTGTCTTTTTTTTTTTCTATATTTTTAAAAGATTTATTTATTTATTTATTTATTTATTTATTTATTTATTTATTTATTTATTTATTTATTATGTATAGTGTTCTGCCTGCATATATGCCTGCACACCAGAAGAGGGCACCAGATCTCATTACAAATGGTTTTGAGCCACCATGTGGTTGCTGGGAATTGAACTCAGGACCTCTGAAAGAGCAGGCAGTGCTCTTAACCTCTGAGCCATCTCTCCAGCCCCTTATTCTTCAATTTTGTGTGTGTGTGTGTGTGTGTGTGTGTGTGTGTGTGTGTGTGTGTGTGTGTTTACACATGCATGTGGAGGCCTGAGGTTGATGTTGCAAATGATCTTTTGTCACTCCACCTTATTTATTGAGGTAAGGTCTATAAATCAAATCCAGAGCTCACAGATATGACTAGTCTTGCTAGCCAGCATGCTCTGGGGATCCTGTCTCTTGCCCTCTGTCTTAATTTGTGTTTCTATTGCTGTGATAAAACACCATGGCCCAAGTGTTTATTTTACTGAGGGAGGTCAGGGCAGGAACTCAAGGCAGGAAGTAGGAGGCAGGGTCTGAAGCAAAGGCCATGGAGGAATGCTGCCTACCGGCTTGCCCCAATGGTTTACATGGACTGCTTTTTTATACTTAGGACCCCTGGTCCCGGAATGGCACCGCCCACAGTGGGCTGAGCACTCCCACGTCAATCATCAGCCAGAGAGTACACCCCAGACTTGTCCTCAGGACAGTCTTGGGGCATTTTCTTAATTGAGGTTCCCTCTTCCCAAAGGACTCACTTGTGTCAATTGACATAAACTGTCCAGCACATCTTCCTGGAATTGCAAGCGGGCCACCATGCCCACTTGGCATTCACATGGGTTCTGGTGATCTGAACTCCAGCCCTCACACACACACAGCACGTGCTGCTGAACCCTCTCTCCAGCCCTGCAGCGTTTTCTTTAATAACCATCTGCCGTGTCTGTCCTGGTGGGGTACATCCTTTACCTTCATGTCTTCAGCTGGGTGCCACTGTTTCCAGCACTCCAGCACCCAGGGAACAAGGTGAGTGAGGGGAAGGGTGGTCTTGGACCTGTTGTATCATATTAAAAAGGACAGTAGGCCAGCAGGATGCAGCTTAAACTCCTCCCACCTAGACTCAAAATTACATGCTACCATTTAAAAATGCAAACAATACTAAAAGTGGGGAAAAACCCCAAATTCCCCCAAAAGTCCACAACAACAAACATCCTTATTCATTCCTCACCACACTTATTATATATGCATACAAATATGCAAAGAAATTTGCATTGCGACCCAGAACATTTTATTTATTTATTTTTTATTTTATTTTATTTTTTTATTTGTTTAATGTGCATTGGTGTCTTGCTTGCATATATGTCTGTGTGAGGGCGTCAGATCTTGGAGTTACAGACAGTTGTAAGTGCCATGTGGGTGCTGGGAATTGAACCTGGGTCCTCCGGAAGAACAGTCAGTACTCTTAACCGCTGAGCCATCTCTCCAGCCCCGACCCAGAACATTTAAATATAGCAGGTCAGTGAAGAGCCCAGGAATATGAAAAGTTGTGTGCCTATAGCCTATATGCATAATCTAGGGGTGTTGGGGCTGATAGCTGCTTTAAATAAGCTACCTGACCTTGCCCTACATTCTCCCCAGATATGGGAAAGGCAGTTAAAACAGACCCATGACTAGGTACACATCTTGAACTAACACCCTGTAATCGGAGGCTTTAAATCCTGACCCTCAGATGATCTTGCTTCTTTTGAACCTTTTTACAGGGGTAGCCTAGGACCACCTGCATGTCAGATGTTTGCATTGAGATTCACAATAATGACAAAACTGCAGCTATGAAATAACAACAAGCCTCAAATATTTTGTATGATGATAGTGTTAGTTTTTTGCAGCGCTGTGCTCTTACCCTGCAAGGAAATGTCACGAAACACGACAGAATCCTCTAATAAGAGTTTTATTAAAGATAAAGGGACAGAGAGTGCTCAGGCCTGTAGGAAACGTGTGTGGAAAAGAAGAAGAACCGGGAACATGGCGCCGGCTTTTAAAGGCTGGGCGTGCACAGGTCAACGTCACTACTCCACGCATGCATGTAGATCACATGGCTACGTGGTGCGCTTATGTAAACATGCAAAGTTACGGATCCTGGTCACGTGAGACGTCCTGACCCGGAAATGGCTATCCTGACCCGGAAATGGCTATCCTGACCTGGAACTGGCTAGGCGGACGTGTCAGGTCCGCCGGGCATATGTAAACATGCCCAACCGTCGGGGCATGTTGTGAACCCTTCAGATAGAAATGTAAAGCTAGATTTGACTCAACTCTAGTTTACAATATACAAATGTCCTTGGCTAAGGGAAGAGGCTGAGTCCCCCTGCAGCTGGAAAGGCTAGAGACATCCTACAGGTGTGCTGTGTCTTCTTTCTACAGACCCATGTCAACCCACACCAGTTCACCAACACTCTCCCTAATCTTAATAAACTCAGTAACTTATTCACTCTGGCCCAGCCTGAAAATATTTTCTGCTGCATGGTCAGGATCCACCAGCTGCTCCTGACTAAAGTTCTCTCACTGGGAAGGGAACTCCTCCAGGATGCTGGCAGCAATGCTGGGCTGTACCTCCCTCACATACACACTTCTAAAACTAGCTCCTCTTATAATATGTTATTCATGCTCACTTTCTAACCAAAAGGAATTTAGAAAGTTCACAGAGGAAACCAGAAGTCATCCAAATGGTGGCTGAGCAGTGAGAAGCACTCAGTCTTACACAAGGTCTGACCAACAACAGGCAGCAAAACCAAAAACAAGAAAACAGCAACAGGATATCGGGTGTGCTCTGAGGTTCTAGAAGGCATCGGGAGCGCCCTCTAGGATCCTCGGACAAGCACAAGCACCCCTGCTTATCTCACAGGCCAGAGCTTCCGGGCTCTGGAAAACAGTCGGAAGTCAAACAATGAAGAGGAAGTAAACATCCAGCCTGGGGGCTGTCAGGGCAGAAGTGACACTGATCCTTGGTTGAGCACACTTAGTCTGTCTACCTACTAATCTGAGGCATTCCCAGGTCGGACTCTCCCCCAGAGACAGTCTGGTGCTTGCCAGCTCAGTGGCTTTCAACCTTGCTTTTCTTGTTGTGTTTTGTTTTTTCTATTTCAGCCCTGTGTGTTTGGTCAGCCCTTCAACTTCTTACCTTTTCCATTCTGCACAGCACCTCAACCCCTTGCTTATCACTTTCAAAGCAGCTCATTCATGGTGGAGCATGGTGGCAGCTAGTGTCCAGCCCTCACCCAGGATTTCAGCCTCTGGGGTTCTAGCTGCCTTGGGAGCACTCCAGGGCCTTCATGAGCGGTAAAAGGACTCCACAATGAATGCAAGCTAAGATTGTAGTTTGCTAATTCTTGTTCCATGTCCCAATATTTTAGCTTTCAGATGCAGCAAAAGTTGTCAAGCAGTCTTGTAATCCCGGCTCTTGGGAGGGGAGTGGTAGGTAGAGCGGCTGCCTAGCATGCATGCCCTCTGCTGGCCTCTATGGTCACCTGCACTCGTGAGGACATACCCACCAACACACACACACACACACACACACACACACACACACACACACACACACACTTTTAAAAAAAGAAATCTTAAAAGAGAAGAAGAAGAAGAAGAAGAAGAAGAAGAAGAAGAAGAAGAAGAAGAAGAAGAAGAAGAAGAAGAAGAAAGTGAAATGGGAGAAGGTATCCGCTTAAGTAGCAAAGGAAATCCAGACAAAAACTTTCAGAATACATGTCAGGCCAGAAGGGGGCACCACAACAAAGGCAAGGCTCCTCAACTCTATTGAGGCTGGTCGTTTTTTTGTGAACTACACTTTAAAAGCTGAGTCCCTGGAAACGCCAGGATCTCAAAATGCTGGTTTGTTCATTTTTGCATAAACCATGCCAGGTTCATTTTTCTTTTTTGTTTTCTTTGTTTTGGTTTTTCGAGACAGGGTTTCTCTGTGTAGCTTTGTGCCTTTCCTAGAACTCGCTCTGTAGACCAGGCTGGCCTCGAAATCACAGAGATCCGCCTGGCTCTGCCTCCCTAGTGCTGGGATTAAAGGCATGCGCCACCACCACCCAGCCAGATTCATTTTTCTTAACAATTTTTAATTTTTTTTAAAATCTAGGAAGAATAAGTGCTCCTATTTGGTCACAGGGTAAACAATCAAATGGTCTTCACTGTAGAAGGAAATGTTTGCAGTGGGGTGGGGAGACGGCTTAGTTGGTAGAAGCCTGAGGACCCGAGTTCAGATCCCCAGCCCCCATGTAAAGGCTGAGTAACCCTGCTGGGCTGAGCAGGTCCCTGGGGCTCACTGGTCAGTCACTCTAGCCAATACGTTCACGAGTGATCCTGTCTCAAAAACCTGAGGGGCTGAGGAAGACACCCAATGCGCTGACCTCCAACCTTCATACGGATATCCATCTATTCGTATTCAATGCACCATACACACATTTAAAAATAAATAGAAAGAGACCATACCTGGAGGGGCAAAAGATGTGATTCTGGATCTTCAGGATTCCTGCAGCCTGTGGTGGTTGGAGCATCTCCTGAGTCCACAGCATTGTCAAGATCACTGTGACCAGGTTCTTCCTGTGACCAGAGTCTTCCCGAGGCAGTTCTTCCTGCTGCTGCTGCTGCTGCTGCTGCTGCCGCCGCCGTAACAAAGAGCTGCAGGCTGGGGGCTTAGACAGTTAGTTTACAGTTTTTGAGGCAGAGAGCCTAAAGTCAGCAGGGCTGTTTCATTTCTTTTTAAAAATTTTATTACATTTTACCAGGTGTGGTGGCGCACACCTTTAATCCTAGCACTCTGGAAGCGGAGGCAGGTGGATCTTGGTGAGTTTGAGGCCAGCCTGGTCTACATGGTGAGTTCTAGGCAAACTAAGACTACACAGAGAGATCCTGTCTCAAAACATTTTTTATTACATTTGTTTGTGTTTGTTTGTGTATGTGGGTGCTCACTTGCTACAGTGCATGTGTAGAGGTCAGAAGGCAGCTTGCTGGGGTCCTTCTAGTCTTCCATGCATGTAGGTCTCAGGGATCAAACTCAGGACATCATACTCGGTGGCAAACGCCTTTACTTACAGAGCCATCTCGCTGGCCCAGGACTGTTTCTTCGAGGCCTCTCTGACTCGTAGATGGCCACCCGGCAGGCTGGGCATTTAAGACCTCATCTCTTTTTTTCCTTCTTTAAATAAAAGTCATATTGGTTTAGGGACCCATCTGATGACTTCATTTTGCCTTAATTACATCTTTGAAGCTCCAAATGCAGGCACATTCTGAGATATTGGGGATTAAAAGTCCAACACATAAACTTGTGGGGAGGGGCAGAATTCAGTCCTCAACATCCCAGCAGATCCCAGCACTGCCTGCATGGCTGACAGATTGTTCAAAAAATCAGGTCCCGGGGCCGGGCAGATCTCCGGGAGCAGTGTTTGCCCGGTGCGAGTGGGGTCCTGAGGTGAGTACAGAAATCAGTCTTGGCTGCGTGATTACAGCCAGCCTCCTGCCTTGTCTCCCTGACTCAATTGACAGGCAGGAACCCTCCGCGTAGGCGACGCGGGACACGGCACCACTTTAAGCTGGCAGCTTCCGGGTCACGTGACTCTCGCTCCGCCTCCGGAGGGGGCGTGGCTACGGTGGTGGGCTCCAGCGCGGGCCACTGACGCGCCGGCGGCCGCGAGTCACGTGGGGCGCGGGGCGGGGCCTAGGGCAGCGGCCTGAGCGGTGGACCGCAGCGAGGCAGCCGGCTCCGGCGGGTCCCAGCCATGGGCGGCGAGGACTACTACCTGGAGCTGTGCGAGCGGCCGGTGCAGTTCGAGAAGGCGAACCCGGTCAACTGCGTGTTCTTCGACGAGGCCAACAAGCAGGTGAGCGAGCGGTGCCCGCAGCGAGGCCCCGCGCCGGGACGCTCACCGTCGCCCTACCCGCGCGCTGCGCGCAAGGATTTAGCGCCGAGTGCCCGGTGTTTTGTACGGGAGCAAAGACGGGTGTGCAAGTGCATGGGTGGTGCCAGAGTGCGAGCTGGCTTTCAGGTGGTCAGTCTCAGGGTCTAGCGTGCTCTTGCACGGTGCCCTATTTTGCTCACTTCTTTCTCCTTAAATTCGTCTAAGCACCTACCTAGGAATATACCCTGTTAGTTTGTTCAGATGACTCAAGGGGTGGTGCGGTAGACACGATCCCTGAAAGGTTGAGTCTAGGTCTTTACAAAGCTCTGACCATTAACGTTGCCTCTTCTTCCTTAGGTTTTTGCTGTTCGATCGGGTGGAGCTACTGGCGTGGTCGTTAAAGGCCCCGATGATAGGAATCCCATCTCTTTTAGGTAATTTGCTCTTTTCAGAATAGTATCCACATGTAAACACTGGGGATTTTCTGATTCAGAAAGTTGAATCACTTTGTTTTGCCCTCCTCTAAGCAGCCTGGGGTGGAATCCTGTGTGTAGGAAAAAGCAGTGGGCATCTGCGGGCGCAGTTTGGGAACGACAGAACAACTGTCGGAGTGAAATGTGGCAATCAGGATTGCCCAGGGCACCTACTTCCTGGTACTTGAAGTTACCGACATGCACTCATTTCTGCTGTGCTGGGCCTGGGGACTCAGTTTCTCATTTATCCCAGGTCTTCCTAGAGTGCTGGGTGGAGGAAAATCCAGTCTTCCTCATGTAATGGGGAAGAACCAGGGTTCTCACTGAGGTTAAAGTGACAGACAGGCTGTCCCACTTTACATACGCTGAGTGTGATTGACTGTAGCGGCCCCTTTCACTTTCACAAGTGCCTCAGTTGGCTACACAATCCCGTCAGTAGCAAAGAGAAAGTATTTTGTAGGGCCTCAGTTCAGTGGTGGCACAGGCCTCTAACCCCAGCCCTCTGGGAAGCTAAGAGAGGTAGTTTGCAGGTTACCGGCCAGTCTGCACGGCATGGCAAGACCCTGTTAAAAAAAAAAAAATCACTTTTAACATGTGTCAACTGTTTGAAATAGAAAACAGCTGATGTCGTTTTGTTTTTTTGGTCCTTGTTCGGCACACACCGTCAGTGAAGGCTTTGAATCAGCCCCTTCCGGAACTTGGACTTAATGTAGGCAGGAAGAGGTTCAGCAAATACTGTTTGCCACCATAAACTCTGTGCTAGAGCTCTGGTGAGAACATGGGAACACTTAAGGGATGCAGCTTTGACCTTGAGATGGGGTTGAGCAAGGCTTTCAGGTAGGAAGGGAGTGATTTCTGGTTGGAGACCAGACCATGAGCAGAGACGTGGTGTTTGGGGGACTCTAGGTCAGGGTATCTGTAGGGAAGGAGGCATGGAGAAGGTGTGCATTCCCCATGGGATTAGGACTTTTCCTTCATGGTGAAAATCTGTCAGGTCGGGTGTGGTGAGGTCACCTCAGTGTTTGGAAACACCGTATGTCTGTGCTCCTGATGCTGTTGGGAGCAGAGACAACAGTAACTCTGAGAGACAGTGTTAGTTCAGCTATGTGTTGCCAAAAATCCAAGGGGCTCTGAGGTACAGACTGATAGCAGCATGGGAAGTTAGTGGGTGAGATGCACCAGTGAGACATGGAAAAGTGAGAGGGATCCGCCTAGCATGCTACACTTCAGGATTCTGAGGAGCTTGAGGGGTTGGTAGGCCGCAGCCTTTAACTTGTATATGCGTGAATGCATTTTTTTCTCGTGTTTTGAGACGCAGTCTCTTTGGCATATTAGCATGGCAAGTGACCCTTAGGGGCCTGCTTCTCTTTGTCTCTCTAGCACTGGAATTGCAATGCCATAGTGTCTAGATTTTTTTACATGGGTTCACACTCTGGAGATCACACTCAGGTCTCTGTGAGCCAACTGAACCCAAACATTGTGGGGGTTTTTTTGTTTGTTTTTTTAATGGCTCTATTGAGTTATAATAGGCTCACAGTATGTTGCACACTTACTATATAGTGAGCTATTTATACACCCAGGAAACCATCACTATAATCATGATAATGAGTGCATCTATCCCCCAGGGTATCCAGCAGTTCTCAGGTGACGTGTGTGTGACCTTGGCTCTCCAGCCACTTGGCTATGTCCTCTGTTCATTTCACCAGCCGGTTGTTGCCAGTAGATTCTGTTCACAGCTTCAGAAATGCAATTCTAACATTAGACTACAGCTTGCTGCTTCCCAAAGAGTTACATGGCTTTTTGTCAATAGCAACAAGAGCTAGAATTCAGGGCAGTTTCTCTCTGAACCTGTTCTTTCTTGTTTCAGAATGGACGACAGAGGCGAAGTGAAGTGCATTAAGTTTTCTCTGGAAAATAAGATACTGGCTGTGCAGAGGACCTCGAAGACAGTGGTAAGGCAGCTGAAAGCAGCGCCAGAACATTAGACGCATGCTTGAAAGAGACAGGTTGTTTCCTCACCTGAGGGATCCAGTGATGTGGGGCTGGGGAGATCGTTTGTAGACGAGAAAGACCGATGAGTGGATGAATGAGCTTACCATCTGTATTCGTGACATAAAATGCTGAGTTTTATCGTGACGTTTTCATACCTGTGTATTATGTTCCATGCTCATGTTCTGTCCCATTACCTTCTCCTGGTTCCTCTCCTCCTGGTCCCCCTCCTCTTTCCAAGTAGTTTCTTTTCTACACATAAATACTTGATTTGTTATTTTTATGTGTGTGGATGTTTTGCCTGTATGTATGTCTGTGCACCATGTATGTGCAGTGACCAAGGAGCTCAGAAGAGGGCATAGGATCCCCTGGGACTGGAGCTGCAGGTGGGTATTAGCTGCCATGTAGGTGGTAGGAATTCAGTCTGGCCCTGGAGCAGCCAGTGCGTGTAACTGTTGAACCATCTCTCCTGCCTCTATTTATTTATTTATTTTTAAGTAATCTGGATTGTCCTGCATCTTTGTGTTGCTTGCTAACTGGCAACATGGATTATGCCAGGTCTGTTTTTGACTGCTTGGTGAATTAATCTTACTCAGGTCACTTTATCAGCTGGTGTTTCTTGCTGGATTGGGTAGGAACAGGTAGATAAACACAGTTGGAGCAGCTTGCTGGCACGTCATCCCTTGGAAAGCATCACCGTTGTGCGTCTTGGGATGGGATGCAGTGGTAATTTAGCCTAGCACAAAGGAGGTCCTGCGTTTGCTCCTAGCATCACATTAATCAGTTCATCAGTGTTGTTCATTCAGTTCACTGCTGTCGTCTGTAAAGTAGTGAAGAAGCCACTGCGAAGATAAGTAGACTGATGTGTTATCTAATTATTCTTTATCAATAAGAAGTCAGGAGTCAGATATTGGGGTAAGCACCTGAATGATCAGAGAAGTGACCTCCTATCTCTCTGTTCCTCCATCCAAAGGGTTGAGATCCTCTCTCAGCCCTGTCTTACTGCTTCCTGTCTCCTATCTGTCCTCAATCCTCCAAAACCTCTATGGTTAATTTTGGTCAGCTAGTTGCTAGCTCTGCCCTCTCCAAGCAAGCTTAATTGTCAGAATGAGATCAAAATATCACACACGAGCAGACTCCTATACCTGCTGCTGCTTTAGTATTGCATTTGCAGGAAGCCTGGGGAAGCTGGGACATTTCCCCGATGTCACCCATCTGAGGACCTTCTTCCTTCTCTGCCCTTCCCTGTCCACCCCTCCTTCCTTCCCTCCCTCCCTCTTTCCTTTGCCTCCTTCTCTCTCTCCTTCTCTCTCTCCTCCCTCCCCATTTCTCTCTAACAAGTCCTCCTTTTATGACTCAGGTTGGCCTGGAACTTACTACATAGCCCAAGTTGGTGTTGAACTTAGAGCAATCCTCCAGCCTCAGCTTCTTGTGTGCTGAAATCCTAGATGTGGGCTGCCATACCTGACTTGAGGAATGAATTTTAAAAGTCTGTTCATGAATCCCAACTGAGTATTTGGATGGACTCTTTAGTTGACTGATGTCTTAGGGTTTCTATTGCTGTGACGAGACACCAGGACCACAACAACTCTAGTAAAGGAAAACATTCAATTGGGCTGGCTTACAATTGCAGAGGTTTAGTCCATTATCATCACGGTGGGATATAGTGGCATGCAGACAGACATGGTGCTGGAGAAGGAGCTGAGAGTTCTACATCTTGATCTGCAGGCAGCAGAAGCAACTGTGTGTCACACTAAGTGTAGCTTGAACAAAGGAGACCTCAAAGCTCACTCCCACAGTGACATACTTCTTCCAACAGGTCACGCCTATTCCAACAAAGCCACGTCTCTTAATAGTGCCACTTCTTCTGGGTGCCATTTTCTTTCAGACCACTACAGTGGATAACTTGGTGTTGCTGACAGTTGACCATAATTGGTCTTTATGTCTTTTGTCTGTGGTTGTTTGTTTGGCTATTTCCTTTTATTATCTATCTGTCTGTCTGTCTGTCTGTCTATCTGTCTATCTATCTATCTATCTATCTATCTATCTATCTATCTATCTATCTATCTGAGTCAGGGTTTCTCTGTGTAGCCCTGGCTGTCCTGGAACTCACTCTGTAGACGAAGCTGGTGTGGAACTCACAGAGCTCTACCTGCCTCTCTCTCCTGAGTGCTGGGATTAAAGGAGTACGTCACCACTGCCCAACATGAGCTATTTTCTAATCATTTTAAAAATC